TCTAGTTTTAGAATTATTAGTGCAGGGAAACCACACAGTGGCAACCACTGTTACTTTTCCAAGGGTCTTCTTTTCCAAGGGGTTTCCCATAACTGAAATTTTCAGCAAGATGCCAGGTAAGATGTGTATAGGACTGAGTTTACAAAGATGAGTAGAACACAGCCTTTGAATTTGAGAAATGTTCAATCTAGAGATGCTATCTCAAATAAAGGAAAAAAATTCATTCTTGGGGCCAGAAAGCTTCCCACTTTTTTCTCACAAAATGTCTAGGCAAGCTCTCTAACCTCCCCGCGCATCAGTTTCCTCGTCTGTAAAGTGGGAATAACAACGGAACCTGCCTCTGAGTACCGTGAGCTGATGTGGGTGACGTGGTGAAAAGGGGGCCCGGTGCAGAGTAAGTGCGCAGTGGATGCGAGGCAACAACGATAGCGGCTGTTGTTTCGTTACCACTGCCAACGTCACCGCCACTGCCGGTCGCCCCTGGGCACTCAGGGTGCTCACATGGGGCAGTGCCTGCGGGTGCCTTCCCCTCGCTCACCGGCACGCTAACCCAAGTGAGGCCCGAGGAGAAGTAGAAAGTACTGTCACCTGCACAGAAAGGGAATGTGCTCCTTGCCCTTACGACTTCCCGTGGCCATGGCCGTGTGAGGCACGGTGCCGTCGTGAAACGGGGCGGCCCTGCCCCGTCTGGTGCTGTGAGGGTGGGACGGGATGATAACACAGGCAGGCGAGCGACCGGGAACTGGTGGGCAGGGAGCCTCCCCATGCTGGTGCTGGAAATATTAGTAATGTTTTATTAGGACGCTATTTCATTATTCATCTTACTTCCGTTGAGCCCCAGCTTCTTCATCTAGAAAGTGGAAATGATTATTATTATTAAAGGTGCAAAAGTTGACCCACTTTCCACCTCAGGGGACAAAGTGGTCTGAATTAGGGGCCCCCATAGTCATCTGGGGAGACGTTTTTTAAGGTCTTGTTATATGAGACTTAATTTTATTCTGCATTAAAAAGCTTCTATTCATTCGGGGAATTTCCTGAGTTATCTGAGATGACACCAAAGTAAAATCCCTGCCTAACCCCTGGGAAACTGAGCCACCGAAGGTAAAACACCCTTCTCGGGACTGCCTGTCACACGGGGTTCAGAGCTGACGGCAGAACTGCATGGGTCTCCCTGTCTTCCTGGAACATCTCTGGGTCTGGGGACCCTTTTCTGAGGCCATAGGTCAAGGGTGAGCCCTAAAAGGCCACAGATGATGCTGAGTGTGGCTGGGTTTAGGATTCATTGGGCTGAACAACCATCAGTGCTCAGCCATACCTCCCGGTCCAAGCTCTCACCCTCACACCCCCGTGCCCTCTGTTCACCCTTCCGTCCCTTCCTGCTGCGAGTCACCTCTGCTGGACTCGGCTGCGAGGAGCACAAAGGGCTGAGAATAGGACCCCTCCATGTATTCTAGGTTGGTTTCGGGCTCACGGGCTGTGTGACCTTAGATACATTGCTGTCCCTCTCTGGGCCTCTGTTTCCTCTTTGCAAGATGGGAAGAGAGAATGAACATACTCTTTCGCCCTCCCCCATCCCCCTGCCAAGTGCTGCCGACTCACGTGCGATGTGTGGCGTTCTCTCCGGGGGATGGCACACTGTGGCTGGAAGCCTCTCCGGGTCGGGAGCAGGGTCACCTCCTCCTCCGCCCCCTTGCTAGTTATTTCCCTCCAAGCTCAGGGAGGCTCGGCATCTTCGTGTAAACAGATTCTGTGGTATTTTTAACGTCTTCATGGTGCAGTGATAAACTGAAAAGAAAACACTTTAAAATCCAGAGCATTCTCTCCATTGCCAGTCACAGTTTAGCCCCTAGTACCCTGGGCCTGTGTTTGCTGCTGAGCCCGGCCTCGGGCGTCACTCTCGCTTTGATTGTTGGCCCTGCTCCCTTGGGGGCTTCTGCAGAAACCCTGTTCCCGGGGGCCGGGGGTGGGGGGGTGGGGGAAGGGCCTGGGAGGGCGCCGGCCCCCTCCCTTCTCGAGCCACGTGTCCTAAATCCACCCAGGCAGATGAGAACTTGTTGCGTTAAGTACTTTTCATTGCAAAAAGTGGCATAGAAGGAAATGTCAATGTTTGTTTTTATTTTATTTTTAATTTTATTTAATTCTTTCCAGTTTTATTGAGAAATACTTGACATCCATTACTGTATAAGTTTAAGGCATACAGCATGACACTTGATTTAACATATTGTGAAATGATTACAGTAGGTTTAGCTAACATCCCACATCCCATACATATACAATAAAAAGAAAAGGAAGGAGAAAGGGAAATAGGGAAAAAAATCTCCCCTTGTGATGAGAATTGCTAGGATTTACTCTCTTGACAACTTGCCCGTCTGTCACGCAGCAGTGTCAGCTGCTGTCAGTCACCCTGATTAAACCGTCAGCAGTGCTCACGTCTGGTGCTGTGTGTCCTTCCAATGTTGTTCCCCCTGCGTGTGAATGTGCCCGTGGCGCACGATGTGCCAGACAGGAAACAGCGATGGAAGTAAGTTTCTTTTCAAATTATGCGTCCACCTCTATGGATGTCCCTAATCCAAAGCCAAGGTTATGATTTTATATGTTTTTATTAATTTTAGAATTTTAGAGAGGGAGGAAGAGAGAGAGAGAGAGAGAGAGATGTGAGAGAAACATCGATCCTTGCCGCCCATGTGCGCCCTGACCGGAGACTGAACCTGTAACCGTCCTCCCTTCGTGGACGGGACAAGGCTCCAACTAGCTGGGCCACTCAGCCAGGGCTGGAGTTTTCTTGCCTTGCATTTTTCAAATAACATAGCATGTTTTCAACATTTTTCAAAAGTATTTTTTTAAAGATGTATTTTATTGATTATGCTATTACAGTTGTCCCATTTCCCCCTTCTCTCCCCTCCACCCTGTACCCCCTCTCCCACCCACATTCCCCCCCTTTAGTTCATGTCCATGTGTCATACTTATGAGTTCTTTAGCTTCTACATTTCCCATACTATTCTTGCCCTCCCCCTATCTATTTTCAACCTACAATCTATGCTACTTATTCTCTGTACCTTTTCCCCCTCTCTCCTCCTCCCACCCCCCTGCTGCTAGCCCTCCATGTGCCCTCCATTTCTGTGATTCTGTTCCTGTTCTAGTTGTTTACTTAGTTTCTTTTGGTTTTGCTTTAGGTGTGGTTGTTAATCATTGTGAGTTTGCTGTCCTTTTACTATACATGTCTTTTCTTTATCTTCTTTTCTTAGATAAGTCCCTTTAGCATTTCATAAAATAAGGGCTTGGTGATGATGAACTCCTTTAATTTGACCTTATCTGAAAAGCACCTTATCTTCCCTTCCATTCTAAGTGAGAGCTTTGCTGGATAGAGCAATCTGGGATGTAGGTCCTTGTCTTTCATGACTTGGAATATTTCTTTCTAGCCCCTTCTTGCCTGTAAGGTCTCTTTGGAGAAATCAGCTGACAGTCTGATGGGAACTCCTTTGTAGGTTACTGTCCCCTTATCTCTTGCTGCTTCTAGGATTCTCTCTTTCGTTTTTACCTTGGCTAATGTAATTATGATGTGCCTTGGTGTGTTTCTTCTTGGGTTCAACTTCTTTGGGTATCTCTGAGCTTCTTGGATTTCTTGGAAGACTGTTCCCTTTGCCAGATTGGGGAAGTTCTCCTTTATTATTTGTTCAAATACGTGCTCAATTTGTTGCTTTTCCCCTCCCCATTCTGGTACCCCTATAATTCGGATGTTGGAACATTTAAAGGTGTCCTGGATGCTCTTAAGCTTTTCCTCGATTTTTTGAATTCTTATTTCATCATGCTTTCCTGCTTGGTTGATTCTATCTTCCTTCTGGTCCACTGTATTGTTTTGAGACTCAGATTCCTTCCTTTCACTATTGGCTCTCCTCCGCGTATCTTCCTGCATCTCTTTTATGGTAACCTGCATCCTTTCATCTAAATTGCGCCCAAAATCAACCAATTCCGTGAGCTTTCTGATCACCAGTGTTTTGAACTGTGCATCTGATAGATTGGCTATTTCTTGGTCGCTCAAAAGGATGAGTCCTGGGGGGACTGATCTGTTCTGTTGGAAACATGTCTTAAGTCTTTCCCTGTCTCTCCTTCCTGTCTGGTCGCTCTTGTTATGGTAGGGGGGCGGAGCCTTAGGTGTTCACTGGAGCTGGGCACCCGGTCGCTAGATTGTGACGTTATATGTGGGGGGGGGGGGGCGGGAGCAGGAGCGGGGATGGGAGGGGACAATGGTGGTAGTTCCGTTCTCCTGGGCTCAGATCCTTCTTTGGGATCCTGGGCTGCGAGCTCTGCCCTGGTCCACAATCGCTGCCTCACTGGGTCCGCCAGCCGCAGCTTGCGCACTCAGGGATCACCGCTGCGTTCTTGTGCCCCGATGGCTGTCGCGCTGATTTCACGCCAAATTTTCCCCGACCTCCATGCGCCGCCGACCCACGCCAGCCCTGCGCCCGCCCGGCTCGTCGTCTCCTACCGGTCTGGATGTACGGGTCTACTTCAATTTCTTGGCTGTCCAACTTCCATTCAGATAAATCCTCTATCAGTTCTGAGTGATATTCTGTATGCAAATTATTGTTGTTCTAATCTTGGTTGTGCCAGGAGGTACGGTGCGTCTACCTATTCCTCCATCTTGCCGGAAGTCAGGAATAAAGTCTGCGTCGCATCATCATCGCAGTGATTGCCCTTTCTATCACTGTCTGCCCTGCAGGGAAGTTGGGGGGCCAAGTCTCTCCCCGCAAAGCAGAGGGCGCGCGCGTCGCTTCGAGGAGACATTGAATCTTTCAAAAGTATTTTTAAAAGCTATTGCAATGTATGGCTATATCATAATTTATGTAGTTAGTCCCTTATGGTTGGATATTTGGTTATTTCCAACATTATTATGCTCTTTTAAATAGCATTATGATGAACTTTATTCTGCTTCTGCAGCCCATCAGACAGGACCTCGGGGTCCATGCATTACTAATCATGATTATTTCTTCTATCCACAGAGCCCATGAGTTCTTTAACTGAGACCAAGGTGGAGGTGTCTCCCTCCACGGAGGTAAGCTAACTAACGTTCTTGTAAAAGGGTCAGGGCAGCAGTACCTATCGGTTAGCATTATGGCCGACACCAGGCAGCCTTTGGTTCAAATCCCACCCAGCTCTGCCGCTTACTACACTAGAGACTTAGCTTGCGCCTCAGATGCAGTTGCTCTGAGCCCTTCCCTGTGGACTCCTGGTGTCATAATGATCTGGAAAGAGGATTACCTCTGAAGCTGCTTAACAAATCCTCAAGTAATCCAATTTCCCACTCAACTGCACCTCCTCTGTGGTTCTCAATTCCCAAACGCTAAGCTGGGAGGCCCAGCATGCCTGGAACTGGGCAGCACAGAGGAGGCATCCAGGGCCAGCAGAGCAACGCCGGGGTGTATTCCAGGCCCTTGGGGCCAGAGAGCTCCCAACGCAGGGCATAGGGGAGGGCACAGGGCGTAGGGGAGGGTATAGGGGCACTGACGCCAACTGAGAACCTTCCACGGCACTGGGCTCTGAGTTTGCATTTGCGATCATTCAATCCTTACATTAACTGAGATTCCAGGTGCCTGCAGGGTGGAAACTGACACCCACATAGGTTAAGAAATCTGTCCAAGGTCACATAGCTAGCAAGTGGTGGACCCAGGCTTCTAGCCTGTGATTTTCCCAGTAAGCGGTGGCACCTGCAGCCTGGTGCCAGGCCTGTAAGAGAACTTACGCTCTTGGTGGAGAGGCAGATGGGAAGAATTCTCCACCTTGAGTAGGCAAGGTGTAGGTACAAATAATGCAAATAACAGTGCAAACGTTAAAAGTGACAAGTCAAAACTGAAGAGGTTCGTGAGCAGAGAAAGGAATGGCTCAGGCCGGCCAGGGAGCGGGGAGCGGGTGGTGCCAGCACTGAGTCCTGAATGATGGTGGAATCTGCAGATACGGGCTTACCTGACTAATGTCTTTTTTAGGCATTTACTGTTGGTAAAGATGATGAAAATACTTCCTATTATTCCACAAATGCTACAAGCTTCCCAGGTAAGCACTGGATAGTTGTGTATTCCCATGACCTGAGGGGCCCGAAAGGCTCGTCTCTGCAGAAAGCCCTTCCTCATTTGGAGATGTCGGGAGATGCCGATCTGCTTAATGAAAAGCATGAATGGCAGAAATATTCTTTTATTACCATATGTGCCCAATTTTGATATCGTAGCTAAGATATTATGAGAGGACCACAAGCATAATGAGACAGGTCAGCAAACTGTTTCACAACTGACCAGAATGCAAGTGAATGTGCCACAGAAAAAGTGACTGGGGTCTGAAATGGGGCACGTGGGGAGGACAGTCTTTGTTCTGAGAGCCCCTGGTTCCAGCGTTTCTGATTCCCTGTACCTGCAAGACCATGCAGACTTACAACATTTGCATAAAAAAAGACCACAGGTACTGTGTTTGTTTTACTATTTGTTTGGGACTCCTGGAGTCCAGGCCCCTCGGATTCAGTATTCAGGCAGCTCTGTCAGTGGCTACTGGGCTTCCTGAGGAGGCCTGCCCCTGATGCTGGCCGCAGGGACGGTCTGTGGCACGGCCCTACCTCAGGCAGTGCACCTAGGGCAGGCCTGCCAAATACCCGCGGGCTAAACTGGGCCCGGCTGGGCACTCGGAGGGAGCTGAACCCATCTCTGCTCTGCCAGTCTCTGACAAAATGAACTGCAACAGAGCAGAGTGGGTTCCAGGCCAAAGGGAGGCACAGATAAAGTTAATGAAATTTAAAGACTTGAGAGGGCATGTCCAGTTGGGAGAATCACAGAAAATTCAAGGAGGAGGTGCCACTTGAAATGCACCTTGAATGGTGTGGGGGGCCAGCAGGAGGGTAAGGCAGAAGTTCAAGGGTGACGGTGAAGGAGGGACCCTCCACCCACTCTCACTGGTGATCTCATCCAGCCCCTTGTTTTTAAAAACAGCTGATAACTCCCAGATTTATACTTCCACCCCTGACCTTTCCACCAAGACCCAGGCTCATGTATCCACGGCCTAGCTGGCATGTCTGCTTGGATGCCTGCTAGAAGCCTCAAACTTATGTCTGAAACGCTGGATGCCTCGCTGCCTCTCCAACCCAAATCTGTTCTTCTCCATCCTTCTCATCTCAGTAACTGGCACCATGTTCTTTGGGTTGCTCAGCCCCTGGAGGTCAGGGTCTTTTTACCCCGTATCTCAGGTCCAGTTCCCCAGCAGGTTCTGTCGGTTGAACCTTGAGACATGTCTAGAGGCTCGCCATCTCTCACTATCTCCACTGCTCACACCTGGTCCAGGCGGTGCCGTCCTTCACCCTGCAGGACCTTAGGAGCTGTCCACTGGTCCACTGCAACATTCTCCTCCAACCAGCAGCCAGAGCAGCTTTTAAAACACAAACCCAAGCTCTCCTGGCTTGGGAGAGTAAAAGCCAAAGTCCTATCTATCAAAGGCCATAGTCTCTACGGGGTCAGGCCTCCTATCTTTAGACCTCGCCCCCTCCATTCTCCTTCTCACTCGCTTTGCCCTCCTTGCTCTTCCGTGCATGGTCTGCTGCAGGAGTGACAGTGAAAGGCCCCGTGTGGTCCCTGCTTTCAGGGGGCTCAGACTGGAGCTGGAGCTGGAGAAGTAACAGGGAGGCGCTTACCCAGGCTGAAATGGGGTCACAGCTCAAAGGAAGTGACCTCATCTCATCTGAGACCAAAAGGCCAAGTAGGGACGGGACAGAAGAGGGGTAGTGAAGGTGGGAGGAGCGTTCTGGGTGAGAGGTGTGCAGAGAACCCTGGGAGGGGAGAGGACAGGGCATGTGGAAGAGCAGATGAAGATCTTAAGGCTGGGGCTTGAGTACCAAGTGGGAAGGCAGGCAAGCGATGACGCCCTATGGAGGAGAACACTGGACCCAAATAGTTGATTTAAAGCACCTGAGCCTCCCTGACATCGTCCTCAATGGAACTGCCATCAGTGAGGTCGCCAAAGCTTTCTACTTCTTGCCCCTCTGTGCCTCGTGGGGACAGGCTGAATGCCACTAGAAAAGCCACTCTGAAAGTGAGTGGGAGTCTGTGGCTGGCCACAGGTCTCTGCAGCTGTGAGCTTGAGCTGTATATTTTGCCAAGTGGCAGAATCCTGGGGTCTGTCAGAGTCTGCTGGGAGTCTGCTTTGGCCAGAAAACTGGCACGTGGCCTCCCGGTTAGCAGAGCTGTTTCCTCCTCTGGGGGTGAGGTTCCTTTGAGACTTTTTAAAAAATATTTTATTTATTTTTGTTTAGTGAGGGGAAGGGAGGAAGGAAGAAAGAGAGGGAGAGAAACATCAGTGTGTGGTTGCCTCTCTTGCACCCCCCTACTGGGGACCTGGCCTGAAACCCAGGCATGTGCCCTGACTGGGAATCAACCAAGGACCCTTTGGTTCGCAGGCTGGTGCTCAATCCACTGAGCCACGCCAGCCAGGGCTCCTTTGAGACTTGATAGCACCAGCTGAGTGGTTTATTTTCTTCTCTTCTTTCTGCTCCTCTTCTTTTTTTTTTCCCCCTCTAGTGCGAGATTCTCCAGTACCACTGTACACATTCCTGGTGGCTGGAGGAAGCCTGGCCTTTGGGACGCTCCTTTGCATTGGCATCATCCTGAGGTGAGAAGGGTCCTGGGGCATAGCCCAGGGTGTTTCTGTATCTCTTATCTAGCCAGCTTTGCCTGTGCGGGGTGGTGGCCATGAGTTTGAGAGCCACGCTATACTTCAGAGGTAGGACTGACAAGATTTGATGACATTAGATGAAGAGAAGGAAGGAGGGGGAGGAGTCAAATCTGACCCTCAAGTTTCTGGCTGCAGCAGTTGGGCAGATGGTGGGGTCACTCACTAAAACTGGAAACGCTGGAGGAAGAACAACTGAGTGAAAAATAATGATTCTCGTTTGGGGCCACTGAGTTTGAGGTGCCTGTGAAAACCCCAAGCAGACACGTTTGGTGGACAGTCTGATCAGTGCTGCGTGCAGATGGCAGAGGATGGGAACAGGGCCGGTGACAGCACCCGGTGGAATTCCGGGGTTGCAATGTCGAACAGCTGTGTAGAGGAGGAGGCGCTAAGGGAGGGGCTAAGGGGGAGGAGCACCGGGAAAACCTGGCTGTGCAAACCAGAAGGGGAGTGTTAGACACTGAAGAAAAGCCTTAGGCTCTGGGACTATAAGATAAATGTGGCCTTTCTTCTCCTCAAAGAGCCACACACTAAGGTGATTAAGGTACCATGTGAGAAGCACCAATATGCACACAGGTGAATCTCAGGTGCTTGGTCAGACCTCCTTGGGAACATTCCCTGTCTCCTCCCGCCATGGTCAGGAAACATGCAGGCTGAGCTGGGGCCCATTTCGTTCCACTCTGTCTCTCCATTGGCCACTGGTTTTGCCACTGACGCCCAGGCTTGCAGAAAAACCAGCTAACAGTGTTCCCAATGAATGGGCAGTAGAGAAAACTTCCAGTGTTCATGATTTTACTGCAGAACTTGCACTTTTGCAGGTACTAAAGCCCTACAAGAAGTCAGGCTGTGCCCTGGCCTTGACAATGATAATGCGATGGAAGAGAAACTTCTGTTCTTTCTTTCTCTTGCCTCATGTGTAACTTTCAAGAGACTCTGGCTGGTGATTGTGGGAGGTGGTGTTTGCAGGTGTTTGGGGAGGAAGTAAGACTGTGGCCGAGATGTTTCCACAGGTTAACTCACTGGGTCCTCACAGTGGCCCTGAAATAGCCTGACCACAAGGTGGTCTGGGCTGAAAGATGAGCCAGTGACAACTCAATGTGTCCAGGGTCGTTTTCACTTTGATTTTCCAACCAAGTGGCAAGCAAACTGTCCAAGGGGCGTGTGGAAGATAAAGTTTCTCACCAGCAGAGTCAGCTCCCTGGAGAGGCCGGAACTCACTGCGAGTGACACCTTCGGGGCAGCATTCAGGGCTCCTCTGCTGCCTCCTAAGGGGGTCCTTGCTCTCGCCTCAGGCACTTGCTTCTGTGTCCTACTCCTACTTCTACATCATTAGGGCTTCAGCAGGCCTTTCTCATAGCCCACCACAGACCACGTAGAGTAAATATAACGATTTCCACTTGACAGAGGAAGAGACTAAAGCTGAAAGAGGTAGAGTGGTCACAGCTACGAATGGCAAGGCCAAGATCCAAACACAAAGCTCATGCTCTATGGATAAGGCATCAGAGGTCATTTAGTTGAATTCTTTAATTTTATAAATGAGGTAATAGCCCCAAGAGGCAAGATGACTTGCCTAACACACAGTTTGTTATTAGCAAAGCCAGGACTAGAACCCACGTCCTGAGAGTCCCAGCCAACCACTCTTGCCTGTTGTCAGCTAATAGGTGGATCCAGGTGGTCCTATCAGCCCACCATTGGCCAGTGGCACCATTTACAAGCAATGCCATGCTGTTGGGTTGTTAATCACTAACAGAGAAGCATTGGGTTGCAGCTGGTCACAGAGCTCATCACAGACCTAATTTGCTCATGTGCTGATGGTGCGTGAGCACTGGCTGGTTGCTACACAACCAGAGTCCCTAGAGGCTCCGTGCCCTGTGCTGGGAACACATCAGCAATTTATTTCCTAGCCTGGTGAGTTTCCATTTTCTCCCATATAAGGCAAATTTATTTGAAAAGAGGCCAGTTATTTCAAATGATGAAAATTCCCTTTATTCCCCAAGTCCTTCATGTCCAGGAAAAGGTATAAACCCAGAGGCCCCATCGGAGTCCAGGATTGCTGAAATGGCCTGACCGCAGTGGCCACACTATGACAGGTGGACTGAGCGGCAGGTGGAGGTACATCCTTACAGTCCATGTATTTTTCTTCTTAATGCGTTTATTTGGTATTTCAAGCAAAGTATTTTCCTAAACATTTTTCACTAATATCAGTGATAATTTTTTAAAGTTTAAGCGTGCCATTCAAAAAGGTGGGCCACCTTCTTGAGCGGATGTTGTGACTTACGGGGACCGGTCCTGCCCGCCCTTCCCCCAGGCCCTGCCACTCCTGCCTGTTCGGTTCCGGCTGTGCTGCTCTGGGGAAGTGGGGTTCCCAGAGCAGAGAATTCTTTTTCTGTGCATCTGTCCAGAATGGGCTGTCACCTAGGTGAGGACTTCCTATGTCCTTTACCTTTGATTTAGAGAATTTTGTACTGAATACAGTCTCATTCCAACATTTCAAAACTGGCAGACTCTCCTGCCTTCATGGTGGGGCAGGGACTCTCAGATGGCCTTGGGGGTGGGGCCCCTTTCCTCTCCCTAGGTCTTGGTTTCTCTATTTTATTTTTTACAAAGAGTGAGAGTTATGAATGTTTTTATTTTTCAAACTTTCAGCTGTAGAACCTCTTTCTTTAAACAAACATTCTGAAGCCCAAATATGTAAACTAGGTAAAAGGTGGAGGCCAAGGTGACAGCTTGTCTGTCTTTCCTTCTATCTGCCCCGGGCCCTCTGGAGCCCCCAAGCTCCTCCCAGACCCCAGCCAGCAGCCAGCGCAGAGCAGGGCAGGGCAGGGCCCTGCCGGTGTGGACATGCTCAGGCTGGCTGGTCCGAAAGTCCCTTTGAGCTCAGAAATGTTTCATTCACTCCTCAAAATATTTCAAGAGAAGGAGAGCTCATTTTTCTCAGTTGCTTTGAAAAAACTGAGGGCGGAGACTGCTTTCCATGTTGTTTAAATAACATCAATAGAGATTTAAAAAATTGTGATATATATTTGCTAAATACTGGCCATTTGCTAAGTATTGACAAGGAAAAAATCATAGATTATGCAAAGAGAGGCACTGTTAGTTTTTTAAACGCATACGTGCGGAGGGCGTCTAACGAGCACACGGAAGAGCGCGCACTGCCTCACGAGTGCGCACCGCCTCACGAGTGCGCAGCTCTGTGAGGCTTCGTGGGCGAGCACGGCCGTGCAGTCGGCACCCAGAGCAAGAGTGCCTCACACTTAATGAGTTTCCGGAGTCTTTTTCCTCTGCATAGTTTCTTGTTTGCTTTTATGTAGCTATGATTAATTATTCTGAACCTAAAACTCTGATTCCTGCCTTTTAAATTCAGCATTAGTTACAACATAAGCATATTTCACATCACACAGCCTTTTCGAGCCTCACTGTCTGTAGCCGCAGACTCCTCCATCAGGCAGATGCACCCAGGTTCACTTAACCAGCCCCCTATGATCGGGCATTTGGGGGGTTGTCTTGCTTTTATATAAAGCATTATATTGAACATCTTTGTGCATAAAGCTTTTTCCACAGCTGGGTTATTTCTCGCGGCATATGCCCAGAAGCGGAATTCCTGGGCCAGAGAGTTCAAATATTTTGGAATCCAGCGTGTAATGCCTCTGTCCTCCTTCTCATGGGGGCAGAGAGTTCCATCCAAGGACCCAGCATAGCTCCCGTGGGACCCTGCTGTGCTCCCCTCCTGTCTGGTGCCTGCCTGGTGAAGCCCTCGGGAACATTCTATAGGCAGTTTATTCTACTGGATAACAGGCTAAGAGCCACTGGCAGGTTTGGTGCCAACTATCAATTATTTATCAAAACAAACACAGGAATAGTCTGTCAATATAAAAAGAAACCCAAGAAAATCCCCGGGCCTTGTTTTCGTCTTTGGTTTCCCCTCCTGCTTCCCAGCCCTTCCTGGAGTAGCCGACCTTGGTGGACTTGAGACCACCTCGCTCTGGCTGTGGGGGGCTGGTCGGCAGTAAGTCAGTCAGTGACACAGTGGGAGGCAGGAGGGAGGAAAGGAGTTGCCAGTCGCACAGTCGCACAGTCAAAGGGCCGCTTGGGAAGGAGGCCTGACTGTACCTTTAAAGATCGCTATCACCCTCTCGTCTTTCTTTGGGCTGTCAGGTGACTTTTCACAGCTTTGGGCCCAGGAGGGAGCAGGGTGAGAGAAGCTGTGATCAGAGAGATGTCTATCTCCTTCCTGTTTAACATTGACTTTCCTGTCAGATGAGTCACTTGAGCCTGTGTGGTGCCCAGGGCTGAGCCAGGAGAACCCCCATTGAGGTGGGAGTGGCCCCGGGTGCGGGAGCCTTGCGGAGCAGGGGCTGTTCAGGGAGCAGGCAGTGCAGCCCCTTTCCTGCTGGGAAATGGCGGCTGCAAATGATGTGCCTCCTGTCAGCCTTCCTTTCACCGAGAGGCCCTTTTCCCTTTCCCACTAAAGAATATGTTCTTTGTCTCTTTTAAGTAAGTGGATTTGGGGCTGATGTGTGCCTATGGACAACCTCTGGAACAGGACAAATTAAGTTCCTGCTGCTATAAAGGGACACTCATGGCCACGAGTGCCTCAGTTTCTCTAACTGTAAATTTTTAAACAACTCATACCTATTCTCTTGGGGTGTTTTCGGAACCCCAGCTCCTTGGAGTACTGTGTAATGCCTGGTGATGAAAGAGCAGGTGATGGAATAAATAGTCATCGCTCTTTTGAGCTGAAACCTGGGACTGCCGGGCCCCCAGGTGGCCAGCTGTTGGTGTTTTTCATGCAGGTGCAGCACAGGGGGGCTGACCATCTGTGTGGTTTGTCTTTGTGTGTCTGTGTGAAGGTTCAAGAAGACGTGGAAGCTACAGGCTCTGAAAGAAGGCAAGACGAGCATGCACCCACCTTATTCTCTGGGACAGCTGGTCCCCGAGAGGCCCAAGCCCACACCCGTGCTGGCGCCCCTCATCTCCCCACCAGTGTCCCCCAGCAGCCTTGGGTCCGACAGCACCTCGAGGCACAGCCGACCCGATGCCCAGGGCCCGCAGAGCCAGTATGACATCAGCAACAGAGACTATTTCTTCCCCCAGTAGCTGGCGGGGTGGCACCTGGCAGGCTGGGGTGTCACACCTGCTGAACTGCGCTGATGACAAAGCACATGCTGGCTCGTCACTGTCATCCCAGCTCAGCTCTGGTGTGGGGGGCCTCTGGCTTCACTGTGACAGACGGGCCTCGCAGACGGTTCAACACTGGATGAAAATAGGTTTGCTGGGCCTGTTCAGAAGGAAGAGGTGGTTGAGTTTCTGGACCACCCTTCCCCAAAGCCCTGCCTAAAGGGGTTAGGGTGGACTTGGGGCCTATGCAGAGAGGGTGTCGAGAGTCCACTGGACATTGAGGTGGGCAGAGCAGGGCGGCTGCTGAGGCCTCAGACCCGGCTTCGTGCGGACAAACTGCGGGCCGCCTGCACCTGCGACGAAGCTCCCCAAGCTGTGCCCTCAGGAGATGGGAGATGTCCACCCGAAGACCTCCAGTTGCCTCCTCCCTGGCCCACCGCACAGTTTCATCTTCCAGGTCAGACTCTGGAAACCGAAGTGCCTTCTCATCGCAGTTTCTCTAGGCCTGAGGACGGCTCCTCTTCAACCGCCTGGGCTGCCCGGGCTGCAGAAGCTTTCGACTGCCTTTCCTCCCCACACTGGAAAAACAGCTGAGGGGGGAGGTGAATAGTATCTCAGGACCAGATGGTTTGAAGTGGAATTGTAATTAGCTCCTCATTAGCATTTTGCTAAATGTGAATCTTAGCCCTAGGCACCTGCTGAATCCAGAAGCAACTGCACTGACTCAGTTTCCCTCTCAGTCTCCTCCCAGGACTTCAGGAGGAGAGGAGAGAAGCAGAGAGGAAGCAGGGACTCGGGGACAGAGGCCGAAGGGGACGCAGCCTCTGAAAACCAGCATTCTCTACGGCCCTGTCCCTCGCTCTCCCTAAGGGAGAACTGGCGTTGGGGTGGGGGTGGGGGCTCCTGCCATTAGTGAGATCCAAAGGTTTGACTCCAGCCCTGTTTATTTTGTTTTCACCTGAGCCTGAGTGACAGGGAAGGACATACTTATCTGAAAAGACAGAAGAACCCGACAGGAATGTATTTTAATTTGTTTTTAAAGAACTGCTGACTATTCTTGAGAGGGTGGAAGGTCCCCTCCTAGCTGAGGGTCGGTATACAAGTGACTTGGGGAGAAGCCCAGTGACTTCAGCATGCAACCGAGTTAGGTGAAAAGGGGGAGGAGAAAAAGTGATCTTCCTGTCTTAGAGAATAGACTGGTTCCATTCTGGATTGTGTTTTTTGTTTTAAAAAGTGAAAAAAAATTGCCTGCTTGTTCTCTAATTTGGGGGAAAGCAGCTGTTACTACTCCTCTCTGCGGTTGTGAAGGGCACGGTGTCCATCTCCTGGTGGCCATGCTGGGAAGCCCGCCGCCCACAGCTACCAAGCAGGGTCAGCTGAAAACCCCCGCCCCCGACAGCCCTTGTTATCAGTGGGAGGGAGGTTCGTTGAAAAACCCTTCGGTGCCTTCCTCTTTTTATTTAGTTCCTTGAATGTGATTCAGTTCAGTTAGCATTGAAGCTCCAGCTAAATGTCTCCTGTGTCTCTGAGACTAACCACTTCAGCTCCCTTTTCTGTCTGGGCTTTGAAAATTCATCGCTGAGAGTGGTTACCCAGACAAGTGCCTTCACGTATCATGGGGTGCCCCAGCATGAAGCTTATGATTCAAATCAGTTGTGTAACCACAGACCAAAAATTTACCAGAGCACAGACTCTTCTAGTAGTCCAGTCTTTAGAAAAACAACCATCGGTACCAGACAGGTGGCAAAGGATGAAAATGACTGCGCTTTATTTACTGTTGGCGGGTTCAGACTGTTACTATGTTGGGCAGGTGGTGACTTTCGGCGCTGGCTCTGTCTGTGGGTTTCAGGCCTGCTGCTGCTTCAGGCAGCTTTCTTAAGCTACAGACTCCTGGCAGGTGGGGTTTTTTTCTACAAAGTTTCTTTGAGAACAGCAAAAATGCTGTTAAAGGGAAATATTAACACAGTGAAAATCTGCATGATAAAGGGTGATTCTGTGCCCACGGTTCTTGAACTCTTTATAAAGTTTTACCCACAAGTGATGTTACCAAAACCAGGCAGAGAGGTACTAGTGGAAGATGTGAAATCAGATAACTCATAATTACTGAGAGGTAGGCAGCTTTGATCTCCAGATTGTTTTTGCTTTCATTATTATTGTAATGGAACCACTTTTTTTTTTCCTGTATTGGAGAGGGTTTTTTCCCCCCTTTACATTTTTATAAGCTGGTGTGAATGAAGGAAAAGTATTTCTCTTCTCCGGGTGGTGGGCTTTTCTCAGTGTCCACAGGTGTGCACCCAGGCTTTCTCTGCCCTGGTCAGTGACCAGTATCTCTGGTCAGTGACCTGGGGCTTCAGCCCACGGGTCATTCTTCCCTGGGTTCGGCAGCTCACGTGCCTTTGATGCTCAACAATGATGTTCCTCACCTGATACCTGTAGTGATCTGCCCCACGGCCGGATGTGAAATGTTGGGATGGTGATGATTTATAATTAAATGTGACAGTTTATCCTGCTGGGTTGGGAAAGTTTAAAATATGCTGGTTCAAAGTCTAAACTAAAGTGGTCCTTAATTCTTGTAGCATTAATAAAACATTTTTTTCAAATGCCAAGGGGGTAGCATTGGCTGCATCTACAAAGCCATGAGTAACTCGGAGAGCCCTTTGTTTTGATGGAGCCCTAGGCCCTGTGGTTTTCTGTCAGGCTCTGGGCTCACTTCGTTTTTGTTCCCCTATGCTCCTGGGGAGAGGGGGAGGTGTGGCTCTGCTGCTGGGCAGGTCTGGGGTGGCAGCGCCCTGGTGGGGAGCAGAGCCCAGGGCAGCAGGCTGCAAGTGACCGTGGTTCGAGGGTTTCCTGCACGATGTCCAGGAGGGTCTTGCCCTGCTGCTTTGGTGCTGAACTCCGTTGCCTCCTCTATGGTCGAGTCAGCTGGAGAGGAGTCTGGCATCTAGCTCCAGGTGGAGCTGCTGGGAGATTTATCTTAATTTGGAGATGCAGAGGCAACTGTTGGGCCTTTGGAGCAGGAGCGCAGAAGCCAGCTTCCCCACGTGGACCCTGGGGGTCAGCTGGAAGGCCAGCTGGCCCAGCCGCTGTGCCGGCCGCTGCTGAGCGTCCCCCGAGTTAGGTCCTTCTGGTATTGTCTCCTCTGTGTGGTCTGGTGCTAGCACCAGTGTGTTTCTATGGCAACCTTAATGATTTTGTATTTGCTAATTTTTATTTTTTTTCAATTATGGTTGGCATTCTGTGTTATTTTGCGGCCTTAATGATACATGAAGGGACATGGTTGGTTTATGGGCACACTCAGGCGGAGACCTGCTCTGGAGCGAAGGGGCTGGAGCCATGGGCAGCCGGGCCGCTCGCTGATGGGGAGACCGTGTTCGGACGGAGACCACATGTCTGTTAAATAAATACCTCAACTTTGTATTTTGGAGAGAAATAATAGTTTTAAGCTTGTTTTTATTTTTTTACCTAATTATCTAAAAGCAAACACCAGAGGCTGACGTCTGTATATGGGGCAAAGGGTCAGTATGATATGCTTTTCAATGTTTTTTTTTTCTTTTTATCAGCTATTTTGCATTTAAAGTGAAAATTGTAAATGTTTGAAATAAATAATTCCTAAAAATATGCTTGAAGTGTAATTATGTTTGGGGTTTCTGGGTCATTTCAAGGAAAATGATGAAGGATATTTTGGGGTGGGCCTCCCCTTAATCCAGGATGAAATTACCTCTAGAAAAGATTAGTTTAGCCCTGGCTGGTGTAGCTCAGTGGACTGAGTGCAGGCCTGTCGAACCAAAGGGTTGCCAGTTTGATTCCCAGTCGGGGCACATGCCTGGGTTGTGGGCCAGGGCCCCAGGAGGGGACACAGGAGAGGCAACCACACATTGATGTTTCTCTTTCTCCCTTCCCCTCTCTCTAAAAATAAATAAATAAAATCTTTTAAAAAATGAGATTAGTTTTAAGAAGTAAATAGAAGTTTCTTTCTCAAAAGACACTAATTGTGAAAGTGTTTCCCAAAACGAGCCCCGGGGTTTCTGGAAGAGGTGTGGATGCTTCTGCCGCGTTTACCATCACCACCAGCTAAGGGGCCTGTGGGGAGGAAACGGAAGGGCCATTACTCACCAGAAGCCTGATTATTGGACGGGGGTGTTCACGCTATCACACAGGCAACCCTGCACTCTCCTTGATCATCGGATAGCCTAAATCAGTCCCCTGTTAGGCTTAGGTAGGAAAGGGCCTTAGGTAGGAAAAACTTGGACCACAGCCATCCTGCATCCCCTAGAGAGAGGACAGCCCTCGTGGGGCTGCTTTGTGGATAGGAGGAGCTTTGTAAACAGCTCAGGGCTCAGCAGGAGGAAACTGCAGGGAAGTGCAATGGCGTGACTCAGACTGAAAGCTGACGGGTGAGGCCCCCTGTGCACCGCCCCCACCCCACCCCAACCCAGGGAGAGGAAAGTCACATTACCAAACCTACAGGACCTGTCTCCTTGAGGATCTTTTTTGAGGGTGGTCCCTGCCTTGCAGAGAAGGGGCAGGAAACATGCCCCCCAGGATGTCTGGGCTATGTGACTCGTGCAGAAGGATGCAGGGGTGGGCATGAGGAGCAGGAAGTGGAACAAGGTGCCTCCCTCCTCTCCACAGCATTGCTATTAGGATGACATGGTTGCAATGCTCTTTCCAGGAGAATTTGGGAGAACAGATGGCGATTCTTGTAGAGGACGGGAAGGAACACTCAGTCACTGGAACAGCCACTGAGGAAAGCATTTTCCTTATTTGCCGAGGCACAGGACCCCAAACCTTTCTCTGTGTCTGTGAGAAGTGCAGACGGGCAGCAGCAGAAGTGTGCTGTTGGAAGACACACTGCTGTGTGCGGGGCTGGGCTGGGACGCAGGGCAGCCTCTCAGGCCGAGGGTTGCTGGTGGGCTGCCTGTGTGGCCTGTCACTTAAACAATCCTGGGCAATGACAGCCAGCCCTTCACCATCCTTCAAATAGTGGCCAGTCCCTGGTTTCTTTATGAAATTTCCTGTCTTCCACTGATGAATGTCACTTAAAAAACAAAGCAAAACGAAGTAACAGCAATGATTCTTCAGCCTGGTCCTATTTCATACCGACAGCTTTTTTTTTTTTTTTAATCCTCATCTGAAGATATGTTTATTGATTTCAGAGAGAGGAAGGAGAGGGAAAGAGAGAGAGAGATATTGATCAGTTGCCTCCTGTGCATGCCCTGAGCAGGGCTTGAACCTGCAAACTAGGTGTATGCCTAGCCAAGAATCGAACCCACAACCTTTTGGCGTAGGGGACAACGCTTCAACCAACTGAGCCAGCTGGCCAGGGCCATACCCATAGTTTTAGGTGACAACCCAAAACATGAGTAAAATCAGGGTTTTCGGTACATTTATGAAACACTCATGGTATAGATGTATGTAATTTTTCATCAAGGGCATTTCATCAAAGATAATCTCAAAGTGCTTAATAAAATTGCTCAGTGGCTACAGCAAAATAGCACACTAACAGGAAGCTGCATTTTAATATTTCACTAGGATTTTTTAAGAAGTGGGATTCATTGGAGGACAATTGTATTTTACTTTGGTCTTTATTTCATTTTGGCTTCATTGAGGTAGAAATGACATAACGTTATATCAGTGCCAGGTGCATAACGTAATGACTCAATCTTTGTAGAAACGGCAGGAGGGCCACCAAGGTAAGCCTGGCTAACATCTGCCCGCATACGTTGTAGGTAGAAAAGTTTTTTCTTGTGATGAGAACTTTCAAGATCTGCCCTCCTAGCTACTTTCATATGTGCAATACAGTATTATCAATGATGGTTATTATGCTGTCCATTTATACCCCCATGACTTACTCATTTTATATTTGGAAACCTGTACCTTTTGACCCCTTTGCCCACTTCGCCCACCCCGCCTGGGTCTTTAAATGTATGTGCTGCACAGTTAGGGTTTTAAGTGATGAGCCGTCTCAGTGGGACAAGCTGGCGAGACGTGCTGGGGGAGGGGTGTCTTCCCGGACTCACGCGGGCAGCACGTGCTCCCCGCAGGCACACGTACGCGCTGGCGGACGCTGCAGGGATTCCAGCTCCGTCTGAGGCGGACTCCAGAACGCTGAATAAGCTCCCAGAGGGTTCTGAGGGGGGTGACGACAACCCCGGGGGGTGACTATGGACTGTGATGGTTTCTGTGTCGAGGCGGGTGCTATGAGGGCCTCACTTTCAGGACTTGGCATACTTCAGTGGACCGCACTTGTGGACGGGTACCTCTGAATCACAATAATGGGTGACAGGTGTCTGTCCTGGAGTGCAAGTTGCACAAGTTATCCTGTTGTGCAGCTGGCTTTGAGGGTCTCTGTGCTGCCCCCCGGGCTGGAGGGGAGGCTCCACAGCGGCAAGTTACCATGGGTGTTAACTGGAAAACAAAATCTGTGGGCAGCAGCTACACCACTGGCCCTGCTGGTTGTGTAGAAGTCCACAGAACCTTTTTGTGTAGGGACAGTCTATGAAAGTAGCTAAAAATAAAGGCCACCATTTGTGGACCCTCCACCAGGTGTTTTATAAGCAGGATACTCTTTCTCATCCTAATGATGCTGTGAGGTGTTTTCACCTGTTTACAGAGGATGCCACTGAGGCTCACACTGGTAAAAATAGTGGCCTAAGAAGCCAGCGCTAGTTAAGAGGCTGAAGCGGACCCCAAACCTGGGTCTGCCTGACTCCAAGGCTGGCATTCTTTACTCTGCCATGTGGCCCCTCAGCTGCCGGTGACTGTCTGGGTGGGCCTCTTTCCAACCCCTTTCCAGGCCAGGTGACTTTGCCCTGAGTGGGTGGAGGCCTGACACCTCTCCCTGGAAGGGAGATGGGCATGGATTCCTGTTAGTGTGGGAAGGCGCTGGAGTCTGGGCCCCACACACACGCATGTCCTGGGCCTCCCGTGGGTGACCCTGAGGCAGCCAGGCCCCAGTGCTGCTCACATCACAGGCAGCCACAAAACAGACGGGTCACAAAAGGTAGGGACACAACCAATTCCTTGTATGTAGTGATCCTAGATCAGGAAGCCAACCAGGCCACTTCCCTTCCATCCATATCAGCCCATCCGAACGCTGTGTGAATGACTGGGTTTTCTCCTGTTGCTTTCTTGGTATGCATTTTAATGAACCTCCTTGAAGTCCTCAAATTGTGCTTTCTTTGTGGCTCGGAGACTTTATCCCATCCACTACCTCTGGAAAGATAAGCGGTCGCCACATTGTGAACACTGGTTCTCTCTGGGTGGTGGGAGTCACTCAGGGAATGTTGACTGAACCACAGCACTACCTTTGAGAATACATGACGATCTAGTAGCTTCCTCAACAGGCTGGCAGTCCATCCAGCGGCCACACAGTTACTAGCACGTGTTGTCTCTGGGAGCAAATGACTGATCTGGTCTGGGGAGTCAGGGAAGGAAGGGGTAGAAACGGGGAGAGTGAAGATGGAGGAGAAGGGCCCAGGTGGAAGGCCACGCACAGGGAGAGGCTGGCCAAGGGCTGCAGGGAGGGTTGGGGATGGGGTGGGGAGGGGTGAGGAAGTCTGCCTTGGATACAGACCTTGTTGAGCAATGTTGCAATAATCTAAGAGCATTAGGAAGTCCCCGAAGACCAGATTTGCTCCTTTTTTTCTTTTATGCATATCTATATTTTTTCATGAGCATGTATGTTTTTTCAATTAAAAACATCTTAAATTGTATTTTACTGATTATGCTATTACAGTTGTCCCAATTTTCCCCCTTGGCCCCCCTCCACCCTACGCCCTACTCCCTTAGGCAGTCCCCCACCATCATTCGTGTCCATGGGCCATGGGTATAAGTTCTTTGGCTCGAGGGGTGTCCAACCTTTTGATGTCTTAGGGCTACAATGGAAGAGGAAGAGTTTACTTGGGCCACATATTAAATACATTGCGACATGTAATCACACAAAAAATGTTTTATGTAGATGTCAATGTTTTATGTAGATCTCAATGTTTTATGTAGATTTACGACTCTGTTGGGCTACATTCATGGCCATCCTGAGCTGCATGTGACCCACGGGCCACAGGTTGGACACCGCTACTACTCCATTTCCTACACTGTACAGGACATCCCCATGGCTATTCTGTACCTACCTATTTGTACTTCTTAGTCCCCTCACCTCTTCACCCCTTGTCCCACAGCCCCTCCGATCTGGCCACCATCAAAACCCTCTTTGTATCCATGATTCTGTCTCTGTTTTTCTTGTTTGCTCAGTTTATTTTTAAGATTTTATGTATTTATACTTAGAGAGAGGGGAAGGGAGGGAGAAAGAGAGGGAGAGAAACATTGATGTTCTAGAGATACATGATTGGTTGCCTCTTGCATGTCCCTAACTGGGGTCCTGGCCCACAACCCAGGCATATACCCTGGAAATCGAACCAGAGACCTTTTGGTTCACAGGCCGGCACTCAGTCCACTTAGCTACAACAGCCAAGATTGTTTTTAGATTCAATTGTTGATAGATATGTATTTATTGCCATTTTATTGTTCATAGTTTTGACCTTCATTTTCTTTTTTTTACTTTTTTCCTTCTTTAAAAGTATATATTATTGATTATGCTATTACAGTTGTCCCATTTTCCC